GGGGTACCCTGCGCGTCCATAAGTGCAGCAGAGGGAGCCTGACCATGCGTCACACGTTTGACGAGTTGGGAGTGAGAACGTGTTGTCTATTTAGGATGAAATGATGCCATTGCAAATAATAACAATAATAAATAAAAAATAATTGAAATGAAATTAATAATAATTATTCTAATTTTGATTATCATTATTTAACGATAAAATATCATAATTTTGTTTTCCAAAACACTACACTACAACACTACAAGCAACAAAAAATAATGTTTTCATCACAACTGCCGTGATCCCGTTTGTGAGTCTGAACACTGTTGACCAGTTTTTCTGAGCTGCCAATCAGATAAGTGCTATAGTTTCCTTTTTTAAACTTAGTTTACACAAGGCGCATCCTAATTAGAGCTCAAAAAGGATGTAATTAATTTTATATCTTAAAAAAAGATTTTTTTCCTTTCCTTTCCTCATGCTCACAAGACTCATTCATTTATTATGCTGGGATTACACACAATTATCCTAGAGTCCAACATAGCAAACGTGACTGTAACATGAGTCAGAGAAACTGAATCACAAATGCGGAGTTTAAGTGAGTGGCTGAAGTGGCTCATATTTTCTAAAGAGACAAACTGAATGCACCAGATATTTAGTTTGCCTGAAATATCTTAATGTTAGTTCAACATTAAGCTGAATTAGAGAAGACGGAAGTCTTTGCTGTAGCTGACTCACTCTGCTAGACTTTCCTGTTTGTCAACTTCTTTGTTTGTCCCTGCAGGTGCGATTATCTCTTTATTCTATTTTTTTTTTCAGTCTAATAATTGTGCAGGTTTGATGGTTTTCTCTGTTTAGATATTTATTTAGTGAGGCTTAATATAAGTGAAGTTTAATATAAGCCAACAAATTAAATATATACGAGATGAATAGAAATGAACTTTAATAATATGGAAATAAAGCAGGATAATAATTAATTGAATTAGGATAAAATTAAATGAAATCTTGAAATCCATGAGTCGTGCATGCAGACTTTAGAGGTTGGGGTTTATTTTTGGTTTATTTTTTACAGAATTAGTTTAAATACTCCATTGTTTACTCTTCCATGATTATAATAACAAAATCTGTCCAAATAATAAGAAAATGATGTTCATTTCTTGCTTTATTACCTCATTTAGTTGAAAATGCCATCCCATACTTTACCAACTGACCATTTATTAAAAACAAACAGCAACAAAGTGGAGCAGATGTTAATTAAATTCCTTTTAATCCTTTAGTCTCGCATTACTTAAATAATACTTTGAGGACTTCAGATTTACCTACAGTAAAAATACATTTTCAAGCACTTATCTGTAGCTTGTATCCAGCTAAAACTAAATGCTGCCTCTTCCTCCTTCTTACACAGTGACATCATGACGAATTCCAACCTGCTATACATCACTTATAAGAGGCATTTAAGTAAAAGGGTGGAGTTTAAGGAATGAAATATCTTTACTCACGGTCAGCTTTCAGTTTTATTTCAAGCTTAAATTTATCCTCATGCAGAGACATTTGAAACTCGGGATCTGTTATTTATTTAAATTTATTTAGTTAAAATATCAACAGACCTCAGACCATTAGTACAAACGAAGAGTAAGTTAACCAGATAACATGGGAATGTCTGGTTTAACTGCGTCGCTCTGCTGGACTTTCTTGTTTGTCGGCTTCTTCGTGTTTGTCTATGGAGGTGAGGTTTAAAAGTTAATCAGTGCTTCTTTCATAGATAAAGAGTAAGAATTGATTAATTAAGTCATATTAATTTCATGTCTGTGTTGTGCTGAAGCAACACGAGGATGGACTGTAACACTTTGACTGCTTTCCAGTTTCCGGCACAGAGACAAAGAAGTGTAATGTGTGTGTCAGTGTGATGTGTTTTAGTTTCAGGAGTCAGTATACAGCTACTAAGGGTGGAAGATAACAAAACGCGTGCCTTTATTTCTGGCTGTTAAAAACACTATGAACAAACAAGTGACTGGAGAAAGTGACAAGATGGAGGAAAACAGCATAGACTGACAAAGACTGTCAACGTAACAAAGACAACATGTGAACATAGAAACAAAACAAAACCTACATTGGAGATGCGACACACTAAACATAGAAGGCAAAGGAATAAATCCTAAGAACTAAGAATCACAAAGACACAGACTTGACGCTGACTGAGGGACACAGGGAACATGAAACACAGAACACAGGAGGAGAACCGAAACAGAAACCAAGGGACTAGAAATGATAAGGAGATAACAACATGGGGCTGAGAAAACCACTGACATAAATACACAAAAGGATAATGAGGGACGTGAGGACACACGGGGAACATAGCCACAAAATCTATACTGGTAAAACCAGTAAAAAACTGGTAAAAAAAAAAACAAACACTAATAAAACATTGAACTTGGAGTAAGAAACAAAGAACAAGAAACTGGAGAGACAAGGGGAAGAAAAGCAGAGGTAATCCAGAGAAACCAGCGAGGAACAAAGGAAAACAACAACAAAAACAAAGGAAAAACAAAAACAAAAACAAAGGAAAACACACAGACACAGACACATGGCTCGAACAATTTCTCTTCAACGACGTAATCCAATAAAAAAAAACGATCTCTCTACCCGTCGGCTTCCCGTGGCTGTCATGCGACCGGCTATTGCAGTTAATAATACAACAGCTTCTTGCCATTTTTTGTGTTTCTTTTTATCGCTGTGTAACTGAGTTCAATTGAAAGCCTGCGTGCGCTAGTACCTCTTGCCACGAGTTCCCAGAATCCTTTGCGGTTTTACCCCTGAGTGACGTCACATTTTCAATCTCTATTGAATGGAAAAGGGAGGCACAGTGACAAAACCTAAAGGAAAAAGACTAAATTATAACCAGAAACTAACAGAAGCAAACAATGTTAATAATCAAAAAACAAACACTGAGTCACCAGACTCAGGACCATGACAGTCATGTTTTTAGCGGCTTTAAAAAAATTGGATTTATTTTTAGAAATGAGAGCTGCTCCATTCACTGCGTGGATGGCATCTGCAGACAGTTTTACCAGTTCGTTTTAGTTCAGTTAATTTTTATTTAAAACACGTACATTCAAAATCATTACAAAACATAAATCCATTCATTTGTTTGAAAAATAAAAGGCAGGAGTACAGTTGGACACCACTCAGACTGCCAGCAATTTAAGGAGAACATGCACTCAGTGGCGGTCCTAGCCTGTTTGGCGCCCTGGGCGAATACACCCCCCACCCCCCACCACCACACACTCACACACACACATTAAGGATTGTCCATTGACATAAAACTGTTGTCGGAACCATACTGAATTTCACCAGAGAATAACACACACACACACACATATGAAGAGAGAGAGAGAGTATGCATAGTATGCAAGCGGCTACCAAACAGCCATCATAATTCGTCATACAATGAGAACAGGACAAATGAACAATTGACAATGACTAATTAATATTAAAACCTGTAACACAATGCATTGCTTGGAGTTTAGTCTGTTGCTGTTGCTATTTTTACCATTTCTTCTTGGAGCAACTGTAACCCACATAATTTCTTTAGGGATTAATGAAGTATTCTGATTCTGATTGTTTCAGGATGACCTGCCATTATCCAATGACACATCTGCTTACCTGTATCTTTTGCTCGTTTCTCCTCCTCTTCTTTTCTATTATTTCTAAACTGAGGACCTGATGGCTTTGAACTTTTCTTGTCCATCTTCCACTGGTTTTAATTTTGCACTCCAGTATGAACACAAATCCCCCATATCGAGGATCACCACAACATAACCTAATAGACCTAAACCTTAGTTCACAGATTCACTTTGTCTAGGGTGTATTTCTGGGATTTCACACAACCCGGGATTGAAATCATGAATACATAATGGGCTTGGATTTACATCATTATGAATGAAATGTGCTCTATTTGGAAGCAGCTGGGTCCCCTCCGCTTTCGACGGGTTGTCTGTGAGACTTTAAATCATCAAACTGTAAAATATAAATTTTAAATTGTTATTGATCCCTTTACCTCGAGTCCTAAACTGCATATTTATTTTCTTACGAGCAATTTTTATTTATTTAGTTATTTTTTTCCGATGTCCATGATACCGCCCTACACCATGATGCCGCCCCGGGCAACCGCCCGTGTTGCCCGTATCAAAAACCGCTACTGCATGCACTTGTAACTTGTCACTCCAACTGAGGAGGGAACCAAAGGAAAATACTATTTACTATTTAAAATATTTTATTTTTTTCCTTAATAAGTGTTTTATTTTGTCATTTACCAAGAATCTTGTGACTGAAAGCTGTCTGTGTGCCTATGTATTTTTGAAGGAAGCACTTGATTAGAAATGAAGAGTTGTACCATAAGTTTCGGGCTATAAGCCGCTACTTTTTGCACAAACTTTTGCAAAACCCTGCGGCTTTTAGTGTCACGGTTCTGGGGTCAGTTTCGACCCAGTAGTTTGAGTGTTGATTGATTAGTTTGTTTTTGAATGTTTGTTGTGGTTTTGGGCGCTATGAGTATTATTATTATTATAATGGTTGTTATTATTAGAATTCTATGTTTCTGTTTATTCATGTTTAAGGATTTGTTCTCGGTTGTATCTCATGTTTAGTTTAGTTCAGGCTCCGTGTGTCATTCTGTCTGTCTCTCAGTGTTAGGTCTGCGTCTCATGTGAGTGTTCAGTTTTACCTCTGTCTTGTCTTGTTGATTATTCCCAGCTGTGTCCACCACCTGTGTGTAATTCCCCTGTGTTTCCCTGTGTATTTAAGTCGTGTCCTCGGTCATTGTAGTTGCTGGTCCGTCTGTGTACTCCACCCTGCTGTCAACCGCCATCTGTTTCTGCTCGCTTTCATTCATGTTCAGGTTTGTGTTCTATAGTCAGTTTGTTCCCAGTCTAGTTTAGTCTTTGTTCGGTTCGCCTTTTGTCCGTTTTTATTTTGTGTTTAATAAACCACCATCACACCCTTACAAGTGCCTGCGTTTGGATCCTCCTTTATTTTCCACGGCTCATCTCACTCGCCGTGACATTTAGTCAGGTGCGGCTTTTCTATGGATCGTCCATGACTTTTGTGATATCGTAAGAGGATTTGTTTTGGTTGTTCTGCAGTTGTACGGCACTACGCTGCCTGGCAGAAGGGCATGTGATCAGACACACAAGAGTACAAGAGTGGTATGCTGGTCACATGTCCATCCGCCAGGCAACATAGTGCCGTACGTACGTACGTAGCGCGAAAAACAAACTTGATAAGCAAGAGGAGTATTACAGAGTATTACAGGAGTAAGCTCTCAGTATGGCAAACAAAAGAAATGCATATGATGCAGCTTTCAAATTAAAGGCAGTCGATTTGGCTCTCAGCGAGGGAAATAGAGCGTAGCCTTGGTATAAACGAATCAATGGTGAGACGTTGGAGACGCCAGCGTGATGAACGGGCTCAGTGCAAAAAGATGAAAAAAGCTTTCAGAAGAAATAAGACCAGATGACCCAAAATTTAAGACTGTACTGAAGACTGGGTGAACACACAGAGAGCAAACGGGTGAGGTGTTTCAACTGTGCAGATCCGACTAAAAGCCAAAACAGTCGCCAAGGAAATTAAGGTCGTCCGCGTCCTGATGGACAGTCCTTTTCGTTTCATAAATCTGTGACACCAGGATGGCTCACCTCTGAAATTTTCTATACTGTGTGTAAGCAACTCCCTCCCGACAACGCAGAAAAAATAACAATCTCCCGCAAATTCACACAAAGAAAGATAAACGAATATTCGGACCGGACGAGATCGTAAACATGAATGAAGTGCCACTGACGTTTGACCTGCCCCTCACTAGGACTGTTAACAAGCAAGGTGAATCAACCATCACGGTGAGAACCACTGGCCACGAGAGAATGAATTTCACTTGTGTGCTGCACATCATCAGGGTTTAAACCTCCGCCAATGGTGATTTTTAAGTGGATGACTATGCCAAGAGAAGAGTCAACAAGAAAGGGTGGATGGCTGCAAGAGTCGCTCCTCCAGCGACCTGGAGGATTATTTCGCCAAAAAAAAGCATTACTTGTTTTGGACAGCATGAGGGCCCATATCACAGATTCTGTGAAAGCAGCCATTAAGAGCACAAACTCGATTCCAGCTGTGATTCCTGGAGGCACAACGAAGCACCTGCAGCCACTCGACATCAGTGTGACTTGTGCGTTCAAAGTAGCACTACACGTTCAGCGGGAGATGTGGATGACGAGCGGCGATAAATCATTCACCAAAACTGGTCGCATGTGAAGAGCCAACTGACAGTGTGAAAACATCCACGATCACCAACGGATTTCGACTGGACTGCTGCATGATGGAGAGGAGGACACCACGGCCCTTCAGAGGGTGTTCGACTCTAACACTGACAACGAGGATTTCTTTGGTTTTGAAAGCGACAACGACGGAGAGAAGCGGAGAGTGGATGACAAAACCATCCTGAGCCTGTACGTTTCCGACACTGGAGGAGAGGACTTTGGTGGTTTTAGCAGGAAGAAGAGAAAGATGGTGGTGAATGACTGATTTTTCTTCTTGTTAAAGCCATGTTACTGCACCTGAGCCTAAAAGGTAGGCCAAACCTATTTTTCTGGTGTGCTGTAGGTTATTGTTATACACTACATTTGATACTCGTTTATAAAGCACAGTACATGTTTCGTACTTGTAATTACCGGTACTTGTACATATATGTAAAAAGTTATGCAAATATGTACCGGTAACTTGTTTTTCAAAACATTAATACAAGGGATGTGTCTCTAAACAGCCATCTCTTTCCTGACAATCCCCTTTGTGCACATTCTCTTACATATGGTAAGTAAACATTAAAACACCTGCGGCTTTTAGTCAGGTGCGGCTGATGTACGTACAAAACAGGATTTTCCCCTGATTTTAGCTTGGTGCGCTTATTCAGGTGCGCTTTGTAGTCCAGAAAATACGGTACTTTGACATTTTTTTTTACTCTTGTTTTTATTTCCTCTTTCAGACCAGAAAATTATCACAGCTGAATCTGGGCAGAAAGTAACTCTGACATGTCGAGCTCAAATCAACAAGGTCAAATTTGTACATTGGAGCAGAGCTGATCTGGAGCCAGAATATCTCCTTTTGTACCAAGATGGGGAGTTGCTTTGAGCCAACCAGCATCCATCTTTTAAGAACCGGGTGAATCTGCAGGACAGACAGATGAAGGATGGAGACGTGTCTTTGATTCTGAAGGATGTGACGACTGCTGATGATGGAACATACATGTGTCGTGTCTTCATGGAAGAAAAACGATCATGGGAGCTCATCAGCATCATCAACCTGAATGTATTTCCAGGTGAGTTCATGGAGTTCACACACAGCTTTCTGAGGTTTCTGCTCTTTGTAAATTTATTGCAACAACTGAATTCAACGAGATGTAAGCAGATGTTTTATCAACTGATTTCCATCCTCTACATACCTTGAGGTCACTGTTGTTGTGATTTGGCACTATATAAATAAAATTCAATTGAATTAAATTGAATACACTGACAGTGCAATGTTTGTGCTGTCTTTATACTAAATGCTCTGTATGAAAGTGGAATTTAGTCAGTGGATCTCAGCATCATCAGCTAAGTTTCCGATTAATCTCTGCTACACTTCATGTCACCTAAGTCTGACCATGAAACGACAGCCACTGTGCACCAGTCACACATTGTGTTTCACTTTAAATCTGTCACAGTACAGAAATCTAAACTGCAGTGTTTTCACACAAACTTTGAATAACATAAAGTTAGCAAACCTAATTTTTGATGAACAGAATCAGCTTTTCTGGACATACCTAAGTTTGTTTTGCATGTTTCCCAATATGGACAAAAATGATCATCATATACAGATAATTTCCTGAAAAAAACTTTTTAAAAAGTGGACTTAAATGGAAACTTTAAATTCCTAGTTTATCAGATGTCACGGAGCAGTCCTTACCTTCTTCCCACAAAGCAGACAGGTCTTGCCCGCATCTGGTGTTAAGCCGGCACTGCTGGCTGACTTCTGGCATGGTAAGTGGTATGTCATCCAGATATGGACTAGGCCTGGAATAGATGGCACTGTTTATATGACAGCATGCCACATCTGGCCTGATTGTGGTTTGGTTTATCTGGCTAGGCTCAAAGAAAACAGATCTGGCCCGGATCCGGCATCAAGCTGGCACTTCTGACTGACTGGTGTCATGGCAGGGTGGATGTCAGCTAGATGTGGGACAGGTCTGGCAATGATGGTGCTATTTATTTTCCTATTTCAGTTAGAAGATCCAAGTGCAATGTTACAATACTATACTGCTATGGTAACCAACGTTTCAAATTGAGGTTTGACAATTTTGTGAGCGTGTACTTTATCCAAAAGCTAGTAAGAGTTTTCTGATGTTTACCACTGGGTGGCTGTAGCTCGGGAGGTAGGGCGGAACATCTACTGATTGGAAGGTTAGTGGTTCAATCCCTGGCTCCTCCATGCTGCATGTCAACAGTGTGAATGTATATGAATGTAGTTAATAAGCACTCAGTTTAGAGAAACTGGGTGAATGTGGCATGTTGTATAGAGCACTATGAGTAGTCTGGGAAAGTGCTATATAAGAATCAGGCCATTCACTGCCTAAAAGGACTTTCGTCTTGTTTCTTTTGCGCTATTATGTTCTGGCACATGTTGTTATTACATGGCTTGATTAAGGTACACATTAGGCTGATATCTTGGGCCAGAGCTGAAACTGTTCTGGGCCAGCACAGAGCCAGCAGTGTGTCTGCAACTCGCCCGTGGCTGCACACAACTTACACATGGCCCACATACCGCAAGGAATGACGGCCCTTTGGTGGCCCAGATCAGGTTTGCCAGAGGTAGTCCACACATGGGCCAGCACAAGACCATCAGTGTGTCTGCAAATGGCCTTGTGCTGGCCCATGTGTGGGCCACATCTGGCAAACCAGAGCCAAGAGCCTTTCTTTCCACATCCTCCATGTAAAGGTTGGCTAAAATAGTTGACATCAGGGAGCCCATGGCACCCTCATATTTAAAAAAATTTGGTTTGTTTTTTCCCAAACCCTTAGACTATTATATTTAAAATAAATAATGCTAGTCATTCTTGTACTTTGACCTTTGGCCTTTAACCTCTCTGCTCTGTGTTGTTTCCTCTTTCAGACCAGCAAATTATCAAAGCTGAGTTTGGACAGCATGTCACTCTGACATGTCGAGCTCCAAACAACAATAAGATCAAATTCGTACATTGGAGCAGAGCTGACCTGGAGCCAGAATATCTCCTTGTTTACCAGGATGGGCAGTCTCTTCTATATAACCAGCATCCATCTTTTAAGAACCGGGTAGATCTGCTGGACAAACAGATGAAGGATGGAGACGTGTCTTTGTTTCTTGAGGACGTAACGACTGCTGATAATGGAACATACAAGTGTCATGTCTTCATGGAAGAAACACGCTCATGGAAGCTCAGCATCATAATAGTGACTGTTTCTCCAGGTGAGTGAGTAGAGTTGAGTGTGTGTGTGATCAGAGGTGAAGCTGCTTCCTGGTTGTTGATGTTTGTTTGTTGTATGGATGAGCTGGTGGATGTCAGAGGTAAACAGATGTTTCTCCAGGTGTTGTCTTTGTGGCTGGTAGTCTAGAGTTGTAGAGCAGCATTGTTTGGGTAAGGTTAGAGCAGAAACAAAGAAATTTATGAGTCAGTCTCTGATTTATGAATCAGTAAGCAGAGTTACTCTAACTCTGCTTACTAGCAGTTTGAACCGCCGCTAACCTTAACACATATTATTGTGATTTTTAACATTTTATTTCACATAATTTGCAGTTACAAAATTGTGATAAATCGGAATATCTTTTTAATAAATGAGATAAAGTTTTCTGAGTTCAATTATTCTTTGGATGCAAAACAAGATCACCAAGCATGCCAACATTGTCACTAAAACCAGCTGTAAATAAGACAAGTCAGTCTCTCAATCTGGGAATGAATGGGGGGTCACTTACATGCATTCTGTTTCTGACAATACTGCAATAAACTGTGATACATAAATGAAAATGATATAACTGCCCCTGTCAATATAGACTGCAATCTACATTTAACTATTACATTTGCACTTAGCAACCATCCCGCTCTATAGGAATATACCAGAATACCAGCCAGGTGAATTAGATCTTCTCAAGATGAACTCACTGACAATTCAGATTGATCTAAACTTGTTGGCAATTTGTCTACCTTTTTAAATTAGAGAGCAACCTTTAAAAATCTCTCTTAGAGTGATTGCAGTCAGTCCAAGTCAGACGGCAACTATTCAATAAGGTTGCCTCAATCAGGTTACCTGTGCAGTCGCCTTGCAATTAAAAGTGGTTGTGAGTATGCAATACCTTAAAGCTCTGGGCAACCATTTAGTCACCACAAATTGCAATTAGTTGTAGGATTTGGCAAATCAATACTATCATGAGATAGTCAATATTTTAAATTAATTAATTAATTTTATATAATGTAAGATGGTTGCTGTCTTATTTCTGCATGTGTGACTTAGCTTGCTCTTAATTAGGAGGCTGATTGTTCAAGTGTGTCCAGTTTTAAATGGTATTCTCAGAAGACTTTAATCAATTTAATTAAATATCAATATTTGGTGTTCTTGTATTGATAACACATCCCCATGCAAATATTGTGATACTATGCCATGGAGAATTTTTTTTCAACCACCCCGTACTGCTTACTTTCTTTGATTTTTCATACCTCTGATTAAAATATGAGCATCAATGCTGACTTCACTGAGACCATTCCACACTTCTTGTACTATATTTCACAACTGGCAGAAAAGGACCCAAACGGGACTTAAACTCAAAGTACAATGTTATTTGCTGAAGGTGGGGGGGCAAAGAAAAACTAAACTGGGAAATCTTAAGAAGCTTAAGAAGCTAAATACATGGGAAAACACAGCAAGACACATGCAGCCTTAAATACACAGGGAATGATGAGGGAACAGGAAACTCATGGGGAACACAGCTGGGGCAAATTACACACAACAAGACAAAGGATACAAAGCATAACTTTGCGTCCTCTGGATAAGGTACCTTGTCTCATGTGCTAAGCATAACACATGAGATAAATTACCTTCAAAGTAAGAGAAGCAAAGCAAAACATGGTGCACACAGACAAGAGACAACCAAAATGAACAGAGCGTAATGGGAACACACACACATAGGTGCAGACAGACACATGACTTGGGAAACATGGATAACATGACAGGCAGGGGAACACAGAATGAAACACGAGGGAAACAACACACAAGAACTCACAACAAAGATCATCACAGCCACACAGAAGGCGACCCAGAGAGCGAAGACACAACGGCAAAACTAATAATCAAAAAGCTAAACAGAATAATCTAAGTACTATAGAATCAACTTAAGACTGTCAAAGAGGACTTAAACAGGAAACATAATAAAAAATGCTGGGTCAAATGATCCAGGATCGGGACACTACATTATATTTACTTTTTATTGTGTCTTCTTTTTGTTCTTTGAATCTTTAGCATGACATTAAAATTCACCCAAAACCACAGTTATTCACTGGTGACCAGGTGGATGTTAAGTGGTTTATTAAATCCAAAGTGACTAAAAACTCAAAAGTCAAAGGTAAACAATATAAATTTGACATTTAACCTCTCTGCTCTGTGTTGTTTCCTCTTCCAGTCCAGAAAATCATCAAAGCTGAATCTGGACAGGACGTCACTCTGACATGTCGAGCTCCAAACAACAAGATCAAATTTGTACACTGGAGCAGAGCTGACCTGGAGCCAGAATATCTCTTTTTTTACAGGGATGGGCAGGCTCTTCCAGATGACCAGCATCCATTTTTTAAGAACCGGGTGGATCTGCAGGATAAACAGATGAAGGATGGAGACGTGTCTTTGATTTTGAAGGATGTGACGGCTGCTGATGATGGAACATACAAGTGTCGCATCTTCACAGAAGAAACACGTTCATGGAAATCTGTCAGCATCATCAATCTGAATGTTAATCCAGGTAAGTGAATAGATTTCAGGCACTGCTTCCAGGGTAGTGATGTTGGGATTTTTTTTTAGTAGTTTGTTGTATAGATGACGTGTGGTATAGGTAGACAGATGTTGAGCAACAACGGTACTAACCAGTACAAGAGAAGCGTAAGTTAGAGCAAAGAGAAAAAGAACAGAAACTGTTGATGGAAACTCGAGTGACACCATTACTGAACATCGCAACACACACATCCAAAAACACAATGAGAATAATCTGGAGATATTTTAACCAAATAAAGTTATCCAAAGAAGCAGAACATCATGTACTGCAAACTGTATCCAAATCATATTTCCTCAAAGGCAGCTGACACCACAAATTATTTTTACCATCTTACACTTCAGAGCACATGGACAATGCACACACTTTCTCCCATGCCTTGTATTACAAATAAGAACAAATCAACACTTTATTCAAACAGCAGTAAAGTAGTCTGCTGTTAGGAATACAGGAGCCAACTTTACTGTAAAATACACAATGCCGGTAAGAGCAGTCAAAAAACTGTCAACTGAGAGAAATGTTTATGGTTGGTACCAAGGGGCAGTTTCTTAAATTAGGTGCTTAAATCTGACATTTTTGACTTACTGGCATCATGTCTTTTACATTAAAGTAGCCTCTATCCCAAACAGTACTGTCTCTCTCTTCATTTGTTTGCAGGAGAACACAGACTTCAGAGAGACTTCAATAACGTATGGGTGCAGGACAAATTTGTTTCTTCTGTGGAAGCTAATATATTGTAGTTTGTGAAATTAGCATGAGGATAAAATTCACCATAACCCTCAATGGGTTAATAGTGACTGGAGGATGTTAAGAGGTTAACATTAAATCCAAACTGACTAAAAATTCAAATCTCAAAGAAATAAAGCAAAATATTTAAAGTAAATAATTCTGGTCATAATTGTACTTTGATCTTTAACCTCTCTGCTCTGTGTTGATTCCTCTCTTAGACCAGAAAAACATCAAGGCTGAGTCTGGAAAGAACGTCAATCTACCATGTCATGCTCCAAACAACAAAGTCAAATTTGTACATTGGAGCAGAGCTGACCTGGAGCCAGAATATCTCCTTTTGTACCGAGATGGGGAATTGCTTTCAGCCAACCAACATCCATCTTTTAAGAACCAGGTGGATCTGCAGGACAGACAGATGAAGGATGGAGACGTGTCTTTGATTCTAAAGGATGTGACGGGTGCTGATGATGGAACATACAAGTGTCGCATCTTCACAGAAGAAACACGTTCATGGAAATCTGTCAGCATCATCAATCTGAATGTTAATCCAGGTAAGTGAATAGATTTCAGGCACTGCTTCCAGGGTAGTGATGTTGGGATTTTTTTTTAGTAGTTTGCTGTATAGATGACGTGTGGTATAGGTAGACAGATGTTTCTCCAGCTGTTGTCTTTGTGGCTGGTAGTCTAGAGTTGTAGAGCAGCATTGTTTGGTTAGAGCAGAAACAAAGACATTTATGAATCCGTCTCTTCTTCTCTTGCTCTCTAACTCGTCCGTAAACATGTGTGGGGAAACTCAATGTTAAAGCCTACATCTGGAGGGGGAGGGGAGGGGTGAAGCTGGTGGTTGTGAGTCTGTGAAAGTGAATCCTGCCGGTGCCATAGCTGGTGAAAACGTACTTAGTGCAGACACAAAACGTCCATCAGCTTCAAAGTGTGTCAGAAAAATGTCCACAAAATGACTGATGGATGAGAGAGGTCCCATTTTTGTTGTGCACAAATCCTTGAACAACACAAAAACTTAGAGCTGCTTTCAGTGCTGCCTGTTTTGTTACTGCACACATTTCTGATGGTCCTACAGTCCAACGTAGCAAACATCTCCTTGAAGCCTCTTCCTTAGAGACCTAAGGTTGGATTTTATTTTTGGGGGCTTTTTTTGAGCGTCGTTCCAGACCATACTCCATACCAGTAGGTGGCGGTAATGCACCTTTCAATTGTTTGCCAACCACCAATATAACTGTAAGAAAGAAGAAGACCAACGGTTGGATCAGAGCGAGCAGCTGAAAGGACACATCTATGAATGCAGAGACTTTCTCACAACCTCACACTTCGTCTGATCACATTTAGGCAACGTTCACACTGCAGGTCTTAATGCTCAATTCCGATTTTTTGATCAAATCCAATTTTTTTGTCTGCTCGTTCACACTACAAATAAAATGCGACCGCAAACGCGCTCTAGTGTGAACGCTCAAAGCGGCCCGCATGCGCAAAAGAAGATGTCACACACAACGCGCTCTGTTTAGACCCAGAGCAAACAATATTGTTTGACTGATGGCCCTTAATATAAAGACTTCCAACTTCACGTTTCCCAATTTTTGCTTTAAGTTATTTGGTTATCTACATAATAATGTAGATAACAAAATAATTATCCTTATTGCTGTTTTAGAGAGGAGCGGTGCTTCAAAGGAGTTGCAGATTTCTGTAAGAGTCTGCAGATTATGCAGTACAAATAAAATGTTAACGTTTCTCCAACATTGTCTTCCCAGGAGTTTCACCGGATGGCCAGGAAGCGTTCGCGATGTCTTCTCTGGAGCTGATAATTGGCGTCTGTCTTGTGTCAGTGACGTAAAAGACGGATTTAATGCGACATGACCATTCAAACAGCAGTCGCTTTCTGAAACATCGGATATGTATCGGATTCAGTACCACATACGAAAGTGACCCAGATCGGATTTGAAAATATCGGATTTGTGCCGTTCACACTGTCATACCATGATCGGATATGGGTCGCACAGGGTCAAAAAAATCGGATTTGATGCGCTTTCGCCTGCAGTGTGAACGTAGCCTTAGACTCAGCTTTAAAGCCTACAGCTGGAGGCGTGACAAGTTCTACAGTTAAATGAAGGAAACATAAGAAGCCTCAATTAGGAGTGTTTAGTTTCAGTGAGCGGCTGAAAGTCAAACTGTTCTTACAGACTGTGTTTTTCAGTTTTTTAACCTTAAATTTACCAGTGGCCCATCAGCAGCTACATTTCATTACCACTCTTGACCATTACTCATTTACATTTAGTGCTAGAGACAAAATTCAAACAGTTCCACAAAAACTAAAAAACAAGTTATAGAGCAGGGGTGGCCAACTCCAGGCCTCGAGAGCTGGTGTCCTGCAGGTTTTAGATGTGTTCGTGATCTATCACAGATGGTTCACCCTGGGTCAACACACCTGAATCAAATGATTAGTTTATTACCAGGCCTCTGGAGAACTTCAATAAATGCTGAAGACGTAATTTAGCCATTTAAATCAGCTGTGATAGATCACAGACACATCTAAAACCTACAGGACACCAGCTCTCGAGGCCTGGAGTTGGCCACTTCTGTTATAGAGGTAGCACAATGCATTCACATGATATTTTCTCATTTTAAACCCAAAATGACAAAATCTGTTCATGAATCTTGGCTGATGTATGTGTAATGAGTATTTATGATCCAAAGAAGATCATTCGCACAGTCAAGAAGATAAATTGAAGATGAATTCATCCAAGTCACCAGCCTCCAAAATCACTAGTTAGCAGCACCTCAGATTAGAGCCCAGATAAATACCACACAGAGATCCTGTCAAAGACACAACTCTACATCAACTGTTTGGAGGAGACTGAATCAAGCCTTTCTGGTCAAATAGCTGCTAAGAAACCACTGCCAAGGAAAAGCAACAAGCAGAAGAGATTTGTTTGGGCCGACAATCACAAGTTATGGACATTAGACCAGCAGAGATCTGTGCTTTTCTTGTTCAGTGTATACAAAAAGCTTTGTAGCTACAGAAAAGGCAGCATGCAGAGACTCACAGTGGCTTTGTGAACACACACGGACTAACACACAATTCAGACAGTGTTTGTCTCTTTATTATCATACATTGCTTTCAGGTTTTGGCACCAACATTCTACATCTATCTTAGCTTTACAGCTGACTGCTGCTCTCCTGTCCTGATGTCACTAAAAAGGGAAAACTGTCATTAGCCTGATTTTCTCCACCTGCCCCATCACTCTTCTTGGCACTGCCCCTTGAGCCCGTCTTAAAAGGAGAGTTCTGCTTTCTCTCACATATAATTTTCACTTATTATCAGCACATGTTGTTGTTCTGTGAAAGCTAACATCTTGTAGTTTCCGACACTTTGCACGTTTAGCATCAAGCTAAATTTCAAACTCAGTGGGTCACTGGTGACCTGGTGGATGTTAAAAAATTAAAATGAATTAACTTTACAATAAACTCAAATGTGAAAGGCAAATATTTAAAGTAAATAATTCCTGTCATTATTGTAATATGATCCCTTAAACCTCTCTGCTGTTTTTTGTTTTGTTTTGTTTGTTTGTTTTCAGATCAGAGAAACATCAAAGCTGAGTCTGGGCAGATTGTCATTTTGCCATGTGGAGCTCCAAGCAACAGCAAGGTCAAATTCATATATTGGAGCAGAGCTGACCTGGAGCCAGAATATCTCCTTTTTTTCCGGGATGGGCTGGCTCTTCCAGATACCCAGCATCCATCTTTTAAGAACCGGGTAGATCTGCAGGACAGACAGATGAAGGGTGGAGATGTTTCTTTGATTCTGAACAATGTGAATACTGCTGATGATGGAACCTACCAATGTCATATCTTCATGGAGGAAACACGCTCATGGAAGCTCAGCATCGTCTACCTGAGTGTTCCTCTGAGTAAGTTCCTCTCTAACTCATCTATTAGTTGGTAGGATTTTCTATATCAGCCACTTCTTCTCTCTGATGGTGGTACAAGCTGTGCAGGGTCGGCCGTACCATGAGGGTTCCTCTTCTTTCTCTGGTTTCTGTCAGATCTTGTTATTGTTATTTAGCTGACTCCTGAGGACTTGCCTTACTCTCTGGAGGTATTTGATTTTTGCGCCTTTCCTAGCGGCATCTTTAAAGTTCCTATTTGTGTTTCAGAATCCCAGGTAGCTTTAGCTGTCCTAAGTATGTCCTAAGTAAGCACTCTTTCCTTCAGGTAGTGCAATTCCCTAAGTTCTGGCCACCTTCCCTTTTTTTGATACATTCTGACAACACTTCTCCAGCCAAAGGACCTTACAATATCTTTACTGTAGATTCTAGCAGTATTCATCACTCATCCAAGACCATGGCAATCCTCCTGGCACCACTGCCTAAACGAAAACCGGTAGTGATCCCGTATCTGTCAGGACTATTGGAACAGTTGAGATGTATTTTTTCTAAACACCAGGTCTCTGTGGCTTTTAAACCCCAAAACATGCTGCGCCAAAAATTGGTCCACCCCAAGGATCGGGTCCCCGACACAAACAGAGTAACATAGTGTACGCTGTTAAATGCCAGGAGGATTAAAAAGATTTATACATCGGGGAAACCAAACAACCTTTGGCGAAGCGGATTGCACAACACAGAAGAGCAACCTCGTCAGGCCAGGACTCTGCAGTCTATTTACACCTAGAGGCCAGTGGACACTCTTTCAATGATGAGGATGTGCACATCCTGGACAGGGAGGAACGCTGGTTTGAGTGCGGAGTCAAAGAGGCCATTTACGTGAAAAGGGAAAGACCATCTCTGAATCGAGGAGGGGGCCTAAGGGTACATCTTTCGCCATCTTACAATGCTGTGATTGCAGCCATTCCCCAACTCTCTGTGAATGGTACTCATGGCCGTTGATCACTGGTCTTTGATCAGTGGTCATGAGAATTTACATAATTATGATGAAGGAACTGACCTCCCAGCCCATTGTTCCTTCAGTGGTTCTAGTTACTGTTTATAAGATTGGGGAAACCTGCAGTCAGCTGAGACTGAAGAAGTCACTTGGATGAGTGACGAAACGTTTCTCCCACTGAAAACGCTACGTCCAGATGAACCGAATCAACTTCTGGAGATTTACTTACCTGAATGATTGAGCATGCATCAAGACATTTTAATCTTTTCTTTATATGAACCAATCCTGTAACTCTACTCTAGGAAACGATCAAATATGATGCATGTCTGATTTTAGAGATTTGAACGTGCCCAATATATTTGTTTCCACTCCACCTACATAATTGTGGTTTATAAAATAAATATTATTTTCACAGCATATTAGAGAGTAGCTATCATGTTTGTAATATCCCATGATTTTGAAATAAAGACCAGTGGTCTCTCTGTTACATTCCTCTGCTTTTGTAGACGAAGTGAATAGAAGAAGTGATGTGCAATTTGACCTATAACCTCTTTATTGCTTCCTCTTTCAGTTCATAAAGACGCCACAGCTTAGTCCGGACAGAGCATCACTCTGACATGTCAAGCTCCAAATAACAACATTGATGTTGTAGAATGGAGCAGAGCTGACCTGGACACAGAATATGTCCTTTTGTACCGGGATGAGCAGTTTGATACAGACAACCAGCATCCATCTTTTAAGAACCGTGTGGATCTGCATGACAGACAGATGAAGGATGGAGACGTGTCTTTGATTCTCAAGGATGTGACAAATAATGATGCTGGGACATACGAGTGTCGTATCTTTATGAGAGGAACAAACCACAAGGATAGTAAACCCATCAGTAGCGTCACACTGAGAGTTGATCCTCCAGGTGAGTGAGTAGAGTTGAGTGTGTATGTGATCAGAGGTGAAATTGCTTCCTGGTTGTTGATGTTTGTTTCTAAAGATGTTGTTGATGAGACTTTGTAGAAAGCAGCTGGTCTGAGTAATGTGATGAGAGTTCATTAGATAATGACAATTGGTAAGTGATTTGTGATCCAATCCCAGGCTGCCTCCTGGCTGCATGCCAAATATCCTTGGGCAAGATACTAACCCCATGTTTGCCTACTGGTGGTGGTCAGAGGGCCCGTTGTGGCGCCAGTGTCCAGCAGCCTCGCCTCTGTCAGTGCGCCCCAGGGCAGTTGTGGCGACAATGTAGCTTGCCATCACCAGTGTGTGAATGTGTGTGTGAATGGTCGGATGACTGGATGTAGTGTAAAGCGCTTTGGGGTCCTTAGGGACTAAGTAAAGCGCTATACAAATGCAGGCCATTTACCATTATGGCACTTAAGGTTTTACAAAAGACTTTTCACACTTGTCATATAAACGATGGGCCACCAATGAGACACTTTATGAGATGACATGCTCTGGAAATGAAATACATGGTTAAAGAGGACATGTAGAGTAAATAATTCTCATCACAATTGTACTTCGACCTTTAACCTCTCTGCTCTGTGTTGTTTCCTTTTTCAGACCAGAAAACCATCACAGCTGAGCCTGGACAGGACGTCACTCTGACATGTCGAGCTCCAAACAACAACATCAAATTTGTACAGTGGAGCAGAACTGATCTGGAGACAGAATATGTCCTTGAGTACCGGGATGAGCACTTTCTTACAGACAACCAACATCCATCTTTTAAGAACCGGGTGGATCTTCTGGACAGAAGGATGAAGGATGGAGACGTGTCTTTGATTTTGAAGGATGTAACGACTGCTGATGATGGAACATACAAATGTCGTGTGTTCATGGAAGAAACACGCTCATGGAAGCACAGCAGCATCAACCTGAGTGTTGTTGTTCCTCCAGGTGAGTGAGTAGAGTTGAGTGTGTGTGTGATCAGAGGTCACTATTGATGAGACTTTGTAGAAAGCAGCTGGTCTGAGTGATGTGATCAGAGTGCAGTAGATAATGTCTGACAGCAGTTTGAAGAGGAAATGGATTCTGTTCTGTTCTTCACTCATCACTTACCTGACAGCTGACACCTCACACCTGTTTCTCACCTGCAGGTCAGACAGGAGGATCTGTTGGACTGATTGTCGGCCTGGTAGTTCCCGCTCTGCTTCTTTTTGCTGTTGTTGTTGGTGTTTTGATTTGCAGAAAACGTTAACAACAGAAACGGGATTTTGACCTGCATTTGAACTCACCTGCAGGTCCACAAGGAGGATCTGTTGGACTGCTTGTCGGTGTATTAGTTTCTGCTGTGCTTCTTGTTGCTGGTGTTTTGATTTGAACAGAATGACAGTGTCGGGGCACATGCTAGCCTGCTGTTGTTTAGTGCATGGTTGAAATGTCTGAGTTTTTTTTTTCCTGCTGCTGTAGTTGGTTTGTTGGTGTTTTGCTCTACAGAAAACATAAACTGTCTCAAGGTTCTAATGAGCGTGCCTCTTAATTCTTAACATCTGAACTGTGAGTCAGATGATCTGAGGACACATATAAATGAACTCTCCTGAACATCCAGCAGACGACTCTGATGATCATCATGTTCAGACTCAGACCAACAGTGTGTGTGTGCTGTCTGTCATTGACTCTGAACTACAGTTTATTCATCTTCAGGCTGTTCATGAGATAAAACTGTGCTACAAACATGAATGAATTTATGTATAATCTCAGAATCAATTATTGTTTTTGTATTTTAGCTTCAGAATCAGCACTTTACAATATAAATACTGACACTGACAATAATTCAAACCGTGTGTGATGGTGTGTAGATGAGGTCTGGTGAATTATATCAATCATATCATTGATCAGCTATAACTGAAATGCTCCCCGAATTTTGGAGTTTAAGGGTATAAAATTAATAGAGGACTTTAACATTAATATAAAATATTAACTTAATGTGACTTTTTCCTTCTGTCTTTAGCACACAAAAATGTTCTTTTATAGCAACCCCATCTTTTGTTGTGGTTAAGAGCCTACAAGTGGTGTAAACATTTGCTTGCCATACAAAACTGGTCATTTAATCATATATACCTTATTTTTAACTTCAAATTTCTCAATTACTAAAAGAAATACATGAATAGCTATTGTTTTGAATGTAATTTTCTCTGGAATATGTTATTAATGAAATCTATGTAGACAGATTCACCAGAGCTCTCTGAGAAAAAGCTCTCTGAAGAAAGAAAAAAGGAGATTTTAAAAGGAACTTATGTTCATTTTTGGTGCTGTGTTTTTATTCTTGAACTCTGTTGTAGCAGCTTTGCATGATTCTCAGCTCAGATTAGTCAAATTAGAGGACACAAGTGTGACTAAAACAGGTGAAACTGCTTATGGCAGGGCAGACAGTTGCTATGGGAACATAAAGAAACACCTGGCGGAAAAACTGAAAACTGTATAAAGACACTAAAGTCGGCTGTTCTTCTGAGGACTCGGCCCACGTAGACCGCAAAGGCCTTGTCCTCAGAAGGTCGGGTAGGCCAAAAGTAAATGGCTGTGAAATTGGACAGTCTACCCTTTTGATTTGCATCACCGCTGTCTCGGTGGAGTTTATTAAACTCGGCCATCTGCTCCTTGCTATCTAAAATATAACAGGACACTGGCGTAAATTCTCTAACACTTTTGTTTAATCAGTTTTCTGTTTGACGTTTATTCAGCTGTGTGAAAACCAAGGAGGAACCCACCTGGGGATTAAAAAAGTTTTTTTTTTTTAATCTAATCTAATCTAATAATTTTAATCTCAGCCAAACCGATTTACTCACGAACAAATAAAACACTGAAAAAAGCCCAACAATAACATTTTGAGGTTTTCTAAGTGACTTATATATTACGTTTCAATATAATGTAGACAAAAATTAAAAATTAAAAGATAGTTACGGATCAGGACTCCCTGATCCGTACCGCGCATGTGCAGAGGTTCTCTTCTTCTGTTCGTTTAATGGCAGTTTACTCCCCAGGGTACGAGGATACCGCCACTTGCTGACCAGTGAATGAACCCTATTGTACGCTGAACTAGCGTTATTACAAATGGTGTTTGTGTATGCGTTAAATTTGATTTAGTGATAGTCGAGTGTGTTTATGCTTGTCTGTGTGGAGAGGATTGATTGGAATAGTGATGATGATGTCCGCTATCACTGTCAATTGTCAGTAAACACTTCATCTAGCTGATGAATCTTAATGTGACATATTACCAAGTCAGTTTTATTAAGTCTGTAATTAGGTGCCGTTCGTCTTATTTTACGGCGCTGTTGTTCAATCGGGAGACGCTCTGTGTTTAGAAGAAAAGCATGAATTTGTTTGTATACGGATTATCCATTCTTTAAATGTCCCAGGCAGTCGAAAAGGAGGCAGAGCTGTTGAGAAATGCTAACTGGGCGCTAACCGTGTCATTCAAATATATTAATTGTCGCAATGTTAGCTAAGAGGAAGTGACGTAAGATTTGCGCATGCGTGGTACTGCTTGGGATTTTGGTACGGATCGGGGTAGTGAAAGTGAGTCCTGAGTGATTTGTTCGCGTTACGATTCAGCACAGGAAGGGAGGGGGTGAGTAGCTCAAATGTGCCGTTAGCATGTTAACAGAATGATGCTACTGAGAACCAAGGAGCTATTGTCTTGATGTGAGTGTCTACTCAGGATTTTTTCGAGTATTGAATGATTCGTTCATGATTCGCACATCACTATTAGATAAGCCTTTTCAGACCTTACTTGAGGAAGACCTCAAATATTTCTTCAAAATTAATATTGGAAGCACCAAACATATAGAAACAGTGTGGGAAGCTTCTAAGGCATACATTCGGGGGACGCTAATAGCATATGCTTCTAAAAAGAAGAAAGAAAGTTTAAATAAAATCCAAATATTGAAAAAAGAAATCAAATATAAAGAACCTGCTTTCAGGGTTTACACAGAGCAATTATATAGGGATATATGTGGAATAAAATTTCAATTGAAGGAGATGTACAACAAAAAAGTTGCATATTCTATGCTTTGCCTGATTACTACATTTTATGAAGGTGGTGAAAAGACAGGTAAAGTATTAGCAAGACAGGTTAAGAAACAGGACTTCTTAAACTTCATTCCAGCTATTAAACATGAAAATAATTTGGTCACATCAATTAGAGAAATAAATGGGATCTTCATGAAATCAAACAGGTGAAGACCTTTTTCTGTCTAAACTGGACCTCCCCAAACTGCAACGGGATCAAATGGAATGGCTCGAGGGTCCGATTACTGAGGCAGAAATCAGAAAGGCAGTAACTTTGATGAAAACGGGGAAATCACCGGGTAATGATGACCTACCAGCTGAGTATTATAAAACATTTATTGATATTCTTGCTCCAGTCCTACAAAAAGTGTTATAAAGAAGCTTTTGAAAATGGGCAGATCCCAGCTACATTTAATGAGGCACTGATATCACTAATACCAAAAAAAAGAAGATAAAGACAATACAGATCCATCAAATTACAGACCAATAAGCCTATTGAATTTGGACCGCAAAATACTTAAAAAAGTTCTAGCCTTAAGGTTACAGCGGGTTCTGGGTGTCATCATACATCCAAATCAGACTGGATTTATGAAAACACGTTCTTCCTCAGATAACATTCGAAAGCTACTCCATTTGATGTGGCTGAGCCAGTCTAAAGATACTCCAGTAGCAGCTTTCTCCTTAGATGCGGAGAAGGCTTTTGACAAAGTTGAATGGAGCTTTCTTTTTTCAATCTTTGGGTTTGGTCCACACTTTCTAAACTGGGTTAAAGTCCTATACAAAGAACCAAAGGCGGCAGTAATATCAAATGGTATGGTTTCAACCTTCTTTAGTTTGTCACATGGAGCTCGTCAGGGCTGTTCTTTAAGCCGACATTTGTTCTTAATTTTTATAGAAACATTGGCAGTGAGCAGCGATGGGCAGTAACGCGTTACTGTAATCCGATTACTTTTTTCAAGTAACGGAATTACTATTGCAAAAATGATAATTAGATTACCGTTACTTTCCCATAGGAACGCTGCGTTACTAAAACCGTGATTTTTTTTTTTTTTTTTTGAGAAAATGTCTCACGTCAGTGACGTAAGCGAGTGCGACATTCATGACAACAGCTGTGTGCAGATCAACAATGGATAATATATCGAGTGTGGAGAGAGTATGAGCGTGCAGCGTTTAAAGCGTGGAAGTACTGACCTTATTTTGAGTTTGATTCCGTAAAAAGTGACAAAATCATTAGCGTCCGTTGTGCGTGGGAAGAAAACTTCTTTTTACAGTGAAAAAAACCCCTAAACTTCCAAGCAAGCACCGAGTGCGCTACCACGCAATGGGAAATTCACAGAGAAACTCATGGATTCTTCCACTGACCGCTGCAGCACACTGCACCAGAGCAAACCTCCGCCTAACCCACTCCTGCTTTACAGATGAAAATAGAGCAACAGGACCGCTAGTTTTTGACTTTATTTATTTTCTGCTGTGTTTTACTTGCATCTATTTGAAAGACTGAGTGTAAACAAAAAAAAATGTGCTGGAATGTGCAGAAAATAGGTTTAAATATTAAACAAATTTCTTCCAGTCAGTGAATGTTGCATATAAAATTTTTGCTTGATGCATAAAGTTAAAAGATTGAAACAAATAAAACAGGTTTTAAAAAGAGACTTTTCCATTTGATTACATTTTGTATGATGGATTATGCAGAAAAAGTAGAATTGGGCTGAAAGATCTATCGCTTTATCACCTATTCAGGTTGTAAATCGTTTTTTTAAAAAGTAACTAAGTAATTAATTACTTTTGAAAATAAGTAATCAGTAAAGTAACTTTTTTGGGGAAGTGATCAGTAATTAGTTACTGATTACTTTTTTCAAGTAACTTGACCAACACTGGCAGTGAGTATCAGATCAAACAAGGAGATTAAAGGCATCATAGGTGGACAGCAGGAACACAAACCCTGATGATATTCTTGCCATTATAACAGACCCACTTTTATCAATGCCGCATTTAATGGACACCATAAAGGCATTCTCTGAGGTGTCAGGTTATACTATTAACTGGGGAAAGTCTGAAATAATGCCACTATCCCCACTATGCTATGGAACGCCAGGACTGCCATAATGAATTACCGTAATTGTCGGGCTATAAGCCGCTACTTTTTGCACAAGCTTTGAACCCTGCGGCTTTTAGTCAGGTGCGGCTTTTCTATGGATTGTCCATGATTTTTGTCATATCGTAAGACGATTTGTTTTGTTTGTTCCGCTGTTGTACGGCACTACGTTGCCTGGCGGAAGGATCGGGGTTCAAGAGTGGTATGTTAGTCACATGTCCGTCCGCCAGGCAACGTAGTGCCGTACGAAGTAGCGCGAAAAACAAACTTCAAAGTAGCGCTACGCGTTCATGCGGGAGGCGTGGATGATGAGCGGCGATAAACTTGCGAAAAGCAAGTTATGCCCAACTCCACCGGTGGATTCTGACAGCGTGGAAAAGTGTGAAAACATCCACGATCACCAACGGATTTTGAAGGGCTGGACTGCTGCATGATGGAGAGGAGGACACCGCCACGGCCCTTCTGAGGGTGTTCGACTCTGACACTGACAACGAGGATTTCTTTGGTTTTGAAAGTGACAACGAAGGAAAGAAGCTGAGAGTGGATGACGAAGCCATCCTGAGCCTGTTCGTTTCCGACACTGGAGAAGAGGACTTTGGTGGTTTTAGTGCGCAGGAAGAAGAGAAAGATGGTGGTGAATGACTGACTTTTCTTCTTGTTAAAGCCGTGTCACTGCACCTGAGCCTAAAAGGTAGTCCGAATCTATTTTTCTGGTGTGCTATAGGTTACTGTTATGTACTACATGTGCAAATATGTACCCATAACTTGTTTTTCAAAATATTAATAAAAGGGGTGTGTCTCCAAACAGCCATCTCTTTCCTGACAATTCGCTTTGTGCATATTCTCTTACATATGATAAGTCAACATTGAAACACCTGCGGCTTTTAGTCAGGTGCGGCTAATGTATGTACAAAACAGGATTTTCCCCTGATTTTAGCTTGTGCGGCTAATATTCAGGTGCGCTTTGTAGTCCGGGAAATACGGTAATTAAATACACCATTAAATAATTAATTAAATGTGTCAATAATTAATTAAAATGTGAATACATAAATAATTAATTAAATGTGTCAATAATTAATTAATTACATGTGTCATAACTATTTATTTAATTAATTAATTCCAATTTTAATTAATTATTGCCACATTTAATTAATTATTTAATGGTGTATTTAATTAATTCATTTGGCAGTTACCTGCTGTTGCAGCTGTTCCAGTCCCTTGATTAAGGAGCCAAGAGGTGGAAAAGGGGCGGAGCGAGCTTTAAAGGAAGACTACAAATTGGTTCATGCCATAACTCAGGACCATGGGGGGGAATTGGAGTTCATTATGTTTGGTTTAGTTAGGTTTTGTGTGTTTTACCCCTTCTCCTGTTTTTGTGGGCTGATCAGCCACTATTTAAGTTTCCCCTTTGTCTCATTAAGTTAGGTCAGTTTGTTTGAGTTATCAGTGTGTTGTCAACTTTGAGTAGAGTTTTGTTATT